ATACTGGTCCACAGGTGGCCCCGAAAACTTTCTGAACACCTCCACATCTGCATGTGAAAATGTGAACCCCTGGATATAACTACGAGTGCTCAGGTACTCGTTCAAAGCCTTCACCCTGGCTTCCTCTTCACTAATGCTCAGAATAAAACTGTAGCTGGAAGCTGTAAAGACAGAGGCACAGGACATTTAGTCAGCATTAAAAGAAGGAGATCCCATGACCAAAATATATTCTTATACTACACATCACCCCCTCCAAATTAGCTCTGGCAACTGACAAGAAATTTGAGAGAAATGTATTTAATACAAGATAATGAATAACTATGCATTTTCTATTAATAGGTTTATGCTCACATTGTGGTACGTAGACCACCCCCTCTCCTCAGATATGAATAACACTTCAAATGAATATGATTAAACAGATGTACAGAAGGACACTGGCACGTGCTTCTCCTTCACAACTGTTCAGTTCTACAATTTATTTGGTACGTGGGCAATGTGGGTTTAATTATGCCTCATCTTTGCAAACACAAGAACGTGCTCCTATGGAGGAAGCAGCCAAAGGGATGCTCACAGTAATGGCATCCCCTCTGCAAGCCCGTGGATATGAAGCCTAACCCTGATATTTTCCTATGGTGATTCAACATCTGAAACTCTGTTCATGCTCAAAGCACTGTGTAAACATTAAGCCACCATCCTGCTTGGGTAGTTAGCCAAGAAAGTAATTTAAGACGTGGCCAAGGACAATAACATGTGAGGGAGGCAGTAATAGAACACCTATCCCTACTCCCGAATCCTACAAGGACCACTGTTACAAATGCTGCTTTCTGCAGTGGCAGAACCTTTTCTGCACCAGAAGTTTCCAAAGCACTGGAGGTGCCCACAGGCCAAAGCTCTTAGGAAGGGAAGGATGAAAGGCACCTGAGGGAAGAGGGGACAGTGGAAGGAACTGCAGAATCACAGAATGGCCTGGGTTAAAAATGACCACAATGATCACCTAGTTCCAATCCCCCTGCTATGTGCAGGGTCACCAACCACCAGACCAGGCTGCCCAGAGCCACATCCAGCCTGGCCTTGAATGCCTCCAGGGATGGGGCATCCACAGCCTCCTTGGGCAACCTGTTCCAGTGCGTCACCACCCTCCGTGTGAAGAACTAATAAGTTTTTTCATATGCACACAAATATTATCAGTTAGGACCTCATGAGCAACTCATTTCCTGCATGAAAATCAATTATCAAAGTAATCTAGTAAAAATTAAACAGCTGCTCTCAAGGAAAAGAGGAACTTTGATAAGAGGGAAATGGCAGCTTGATGCCAAGTACATTTGTGTTTGACTTTCTTGAGCACAGCAAGGTAAGTGGCACACCACTTTAGAACCCATCAGAACAAATGTAAAAAATCAGAGGTAGAAAAAATAAAAACCAGATGTCACCAACAATATTAAAAATTCATACACTGAGGCAGAACTACCCTATGTTCTCAGTCCTTCTCAAGGGCTGTCCACACAATTGTTAATTCTAAATAACGAATAACAAGTCAGTAAAGGTTCACAGTGAGACCATACAACTAGCCTTACCCAGCTGAATGGGATGTGGCTTTGGCTCACACAGTCCCTTTTACTACAGACTTTTCAGGCACCCAAATATTTACTGATATTTATCAACACGGAACTTTACATGTTTATACAGATTAAGTAGTTTGAAACAGTTACCTTCAAGAACTATGGAAACCTAAAACAAGTGAATTTTGTGTCCATGAATCGTAAGATGGAAAAAAACAAAACGGCAGGGATAATCTATGTAGAAATGAAACTGTATCTCAAAGATCTTTAAAGATCTGTTGCAAGGAAAGCAACACTCCGCTCACTAAGTATTATTAGGGTTATTATGGCCATTAATCATACACCAGACTGCTTATGGGAATCAACTCAGTGTATCTGAAACAATATAACTGCTTTCCAACCACATCTATAAACCAATCTAAAAGGGGAAGTTGTACAAACTTATACACAAACAAAACAAAGATGACAGAACCCGTATGCGCTACTTTTAGCAAGGAGAGGCAGCAAACACTGCTGGTACCAGTTCAGTCCTGATAAGCAGGACGGACAAAATTCATTTGAACAATCTCAGTGCACACATTAATACCTGAAATTATAAGTCTGACATTATGTCTCAGTGTAAGAGCAGCCAACTCAGAAGTATAATGCATCAGAGAAACCAGTTAGCCCAGGGAACCTAATAGAAGGGATGTCTTTATGTTGAGAAAGATCACTGACTCAAATTCAGCTCCTACAAAGAATGAATACAATAACATTGTACTTGGAAGGCAGCATACCACAGAGAAGTAGTGCCATTTGTTTTTAAGGAAAATAAATCAGTCAAGACTACCTTTCTATAAAGGTATCTCATTGCTATCGCAATAAAAACAGGAGTAGTCACTCTGCAGAAGTTTGTTTTCCTGATATTTACACCTGCACTCCCAATCTCTCCCTTCAATTCATTACACATTCCCACTGAAATACTTCCTGGTCTTTCTTCAAGTACTTTCCTCACACACCTCAGCAACTTCAGGCTCTCCTAAATCTCTGCCCCATCTTTGCTCGCTCTGCCAGCTGTCTGCAAAGGGGCAGCCCACCGCAGAATTTAATTAACACCAATCTATGGATTCAACAACTATTGAGAGAGACAGGCCAATGGACACATACAGTACCAAGTTTCCTAACACTGCTCTTTAGGAACCTATGCTAATAAATTGATTATTCTCTTGAACTGTAATTTTCTCTTTACTCCTAAAATAAAAACTGCAGTTGCTGCTTCTCAGCAGCATTGGGAAGCGTCTTCTTGACTACAGAGCTGTTGCATAAGAATGCTGAATGTTAACTCATGTGAATGGAATGATCTGCAGACACTAAATCACATCACCCGTGAGCAGCTCCATTCAGAAAACAAGCAGTGCACACAAGTGGTGAAAAGGAAACAAAACAAGCTTCAAAAATCCTAAGAATGAATATTGCTAATGTAACATTCTCCCATCATTAGAAGTTGTTTCAAAAAAATTCCACTGTAGACACTAATACAGCCCTCACACAGTAATTGCTGCTGTGCAGTTTCTTTGAGCACGTTAATTGCCACACATTCTTCTTTCCATACGCAGAAGGCTTTGGTGACAGCTGGGGGTACTGGGAAACAAGCTGGAAGACTGCAGCAGCACACAGACTCAAAGGAATAAGATTTATGTGCAAATAAAATGTGGAAGCAAATAGCTTTCAAAGTTTAATTGTGAGGCTAGACACAATATAAAATCTGATGGAAATTTTCACTTTTATTCAATTGAAAGTGGTAACAAAAGCATAACGTCCCCAAACTGTCTGCTCCTTGAAAAAAGAAACAAAAGTTTCCAAAAACCTCTGTTCCTTGTAGATGGTGACAGCAAAGTGAATACAGGAAAGCCATAAAGCAGGCAGGAAGGTCACTTAAACAGAAAACAGGAGCTATTTTGCTTCAGGGAAGAATTAAGTTTCCTGGGCATCCCTGAACCTGCTGACCTTGTGGGTCACACCTGTAAGTCAACCGGAACACCCTGGGGTTTCTGTGGTTGCATTCTCTGAGAGGAAACCTTAGTATTCTGAGTATTTTCAAGAGTCATTTCTCGTCCAACTGGGTCTTCACAAAATAAAACAACTCATAAAATGAGCTGGTAATGTGTCGGTATTACTGCAGCTCCAAACTTTGAGCGCCAGAAATGGGGCTTCCCAGGACTCGCACGTGGGGATCGGGGTGCTGATAGTAGTTATGGGGTTTTAGGACAGGCATATCCCACCACAGGAGCTGCCCAGACCTATTCACTTCGGCCCTATGAGTTCCACTTTCCATTTTCCCAAACTGAAATCAGATCACAGTCCAGGTCCAGCACCAGGGCTGTTCTGTCATGAAGGTATGGAGCTAAAAAGGTTTCTTAAGTGCACTCAGAACTGAGCGTTTGGTGTCTGTCCCTCAGTGACTAAAAGGCTGACAAAGAGAAGGGGCTTGGAAATGGGCATTTCTGGACACAGGAATGATAAGAAAAGAGGGAAATAACTTCTAGCAATCAAGAAAAAAGAGACAAAATCTTAGAACCTCAGCTGGAATGACACAAATTTCCAGCCCCTGACGTACCATCGTGGTATTTCACTCTTGTACGACTGGTATTCCGAGTTTCTATTTGCTACGGGAGAGCCCCATCCCTCCTTCCATACGGAAGAGGACAGGCGCAAATAAAGAAGATGATGACAACATAACAAAAACCCCTCGAGAAAAACCAAAAGTTGCACCTCAGAAATACGTCGCGGTGGGGACGGCGGCGGCGACCCCGCTACGCACTGTTGCGGGGTCGCCGCCGCCGTCCCCACCGCTGAGGGGGGAGATCGAGGCGACGTCCCCGCCGCCATTTCGCGCCCCGACGCCCCCCGCCGGCCGCCATTTCGCGCCCCCCAGCACCTCGCGCGCCGCCTGACAGAAGCGCCGCTCGGCGGCCCCCCCGCCCCGCCGCGTGACGTCACGGCGCCCACCTGACGCTCTGACAGCGGCCGGGGCCATGACATCATCCCGACGAACGCCCTCAGCGCCTTCACGGCACCGTGACAGTCCCGGAAAACGCTTCCCCTCGCCTCGCCGGGGCCCCCGGGATAAGCCGCGACTCCCTCCGCACACCTACCCTGTTCGGCTGGGGCCGCTGCCATCCTGCTGCCTCCACCTCTCGCCGCCGAGCTGATGCAACAGCGTGCCCGGAAGCGGCTCCCGCCTCGCCCCGCCCAGCCCGCGCTACGCTACTTCCGACCCGTGGTCGCTATGGCAACCGGCCCGCGCCTCTTGGCCCCGCCCTGAGCGCGCCTTCCCGCCTCGCGAGGGGCGGCCGGCGGGCGTCGCGCGGCTGGGCTCGTCTCGACCGCCGCCATTTTGTGCGTGAGGTTCTTCTCGCGCCCAGCCCCACCCCTCTGCCAAGAAACAGCTCCAGCCTTTGTCGTTACTGACTTTTTATTGCCGTACTTTGAACAGAACATTTCGCATGCCACGTGCTCCCACCACAAATGAAATGCGATTATCTCGTAAACGAAAATAAGGCAGTTCAGTTAAAAACTGCAGCAAGTGTTCTCGGCTCCGCAGAGCACAGGAAAGGTAGCTTCTTTCCTCACAGCTTCACAAAGGAAAGGCCAACTCAGAAGCTCAGAGCTCCTCAATTGCCGCTGGTACCTGAGTTTCACATTGTACTTCTCAAAAAAAACACAACACAAAATAAAGCGAATATTGTTGCTGAATTGTCACAATTCCACACAGGCTGTGTTAAACGACTTCCAGCCCATGCGCAGGTAAGAAGGGCATCATATCCACACAGCCACTAATACCAGCAGCTTATGACATCCTCACTTATACAAATTTCCTATATACATACAGGAACATTTCTGAAGTTCATTGGAAATGTTAAGCTGTAGCTTCTATTTTACTTATAATGTTATTACTTGTTAAAGCGTGTACTATTTTACCGTAAGCCTTGGTATCTATATCCCATAACTCATCCAGTAACTTAATAATAGCTTGTTTCTCCCCCAGTGTGTTTTTCCAGGTGAGAAGCATCTGATAAGATTGCTCGTATATGTTTTTAGGCCACTCATACTCAATTTTAACAATAACATTTTCATCCAGATGAGTTCTCATAAGCTTCTTCCATTTTTCCACTGGTACTGTATTTATAAAAGCAGAAAAGCAATCCATCTGTTCTGAGAAGGGAAAAAAACAAACCCAAACCATATTAGCTTAGGTTCTAAAATATAGTGGGTTTTTCCCCTGCAACTAATATACACATTTCCCAATTACTTTTTAGCAAATGCATTCACAGACTAAACAGTGGCAGCAAGATTAGGCTTGTCACCTAAGAAGCAGTAGGTGAAACAGGCTTCATACTTATCTTTAGAAACTAAAGGTACCCATACTGTACATCTAAACAGTACTCTCAAGACAAAATATTATTCAGTAACAGAGGTTTTAGGGAACATTTCACTGACTTGCATGTTTTTGCTTACTCTTAACACAGCTACTCAACTGTAGCCTTTAACCACCTCACTATGCTATCAGTGAAGGCATGCCATGCTAACACTAGTAGTAGCAAAGCCCATCACTTTGATATCCAGCACCTCAGCTTACTGGTTACTTGTAGGGCTTAGGGCTTTGATGCAGTCTCACATATAACAGACATTTGTCCAAATTCCTATTCTGATGTGCACCTCAGTCATTAAGGCAGTCCCCCTGCTGTCACATAGACTTATTTATAACATACTGACAAATTCTTTACTATACTTATTCTTCAAAGTAAGACTATATTACACTTTCAGAAGACCTATGCATCAAAGTAATCTGCCACAGTGATTATGGCTTTACTTAAATGCAGTAATGATCCTATTTCAGCATCTTACATTCAAATGAAAACCTCATAGGCTTAAGCAATATTCATTAGTCTCCTTGAACTATTCCTTCAGTGTATACTCAAGTCAACAAGAAAAAGCAAATTCAAGCTACTGACCATTTGTAGAATACTTACCTTTTTGAGTGAGATCTTTAACAATTATTTTACACTTTTGCTTTTGTACCTGTGATAAAAAAAAAAAAGTCGGACCATTACTCTAGCATGTCAGAACACTTAATTCACAATTACTTCTGAGCTACTCAATAGATTACTTTCAGTGTATATGTGCCAATAAAAGAGTGGGGAAAGCTTCACAGCATAGCTGAAAAAAAAAAATGAGTAAAGAAAACAGCATGCTGAAAGCAGCTGTGCTACTTACTATCTAAGAAGTGAAGCAACAAGGCAACATACTTGCTGTTATTGCAAAAGAATGGCTCTTGAACAAACACTGAACAAAAAGGTGAGATGCACAGCAGATTAAAGGCTGAACTGAAGTTTGCTTTCCCCAAGATATCACTTCTCATACTTTCTATTGTATCTTTTAAGCAAAGGCTCCTCTTCCTTATAATACTGCTTGAAAACAGCATCTATTGCTCAAGGAAGAGTTAAGAGGTCAATTCAAACTATACCTATATTAGTAAAAAACATTCTGATATTAGTTTTCCCTCACCATACAATATGCTGGCATCTTAACACCCCTTACCTTACACTGGGCTTTTGGTTGAAAAGTAGAATTACAACTATTTTTTGTAGATGATGAACAGTTTTTGATCCTCTTCCAACATTCTTGTGTTTGGTGCCACAAGTTCTTCTGTGGGATGGTGCCTCTCTTAGAAGACACAGCACTGTTTTCCTCTGGAGATGTGTTTTTCATTTCCAAATTAACACTATCGTATGCTTGGCCCTCTGGGTTCTCACCAGAGTTCTCACTATCTGGATGGGATGCATTATTTTCAAGTATCTTCACTTCTGATAAAAGTGTTTTATCTTCAGATGCCTGTAAAGAAAAACAACTTATTTTAGAAGTTTCATTGATAGAGCTTTGTGGGCAGTTTAGAGGAAGAAAACAGAATACTTGAAATCACCAGTATCAAAGAAAAAAAAATAGGAGAGATGCTGATTAAGTGAAGATAAAAAAAAACATACAACACAGCATTTATAGATGCATTTCAATCAGTCTTAGAGCCTAAACTCTTTACCTTGCTGGCTGTTCTACTTCCTCTAGACTGTATGGTAACTCATAATCTATCCACAACAACTACAAAGAAATTTTCCTTGTATTTTCACTGCTTACTCCTCCCTGGGTATAAAAGAGGCATACCCATCCTGAGCAGGAAAGAACTCAGTTGCCACAGTGCACCTAAGAGCACCTAAGCTGAAACAACCAATCAGCCTGCTAACACGCTTTAAACCTATCACTATATGAAGGTTGATGCTTTCAGAGCTTTGCTGAGCTGACAGACCATTATCAGCTCTCTGTGAGTGTACTAGCATGCACTTGTTTGCTTTTAAGTAGTTTTTCCTCACATTCACACAATAGACTCAGTTCAAAGTAGGGACCAGAGCAAACTGTGCATCTTTTGCTAGGGGAATAAAGGTAGGGGGAGGTATCAATTTCTGCATTATGAATGCATCAAATGAGCCTATGACCACACAGTTCACAGGGTGACAGTGACCCACAGAGAGTAGTAGAAGCATAAAACAGACCAGCATGAATAGAGCTTATCAGCTTGTGTTGAAAGCAAAAATTTTAAGGCAGCATTGATTTATTTATTCAAAGTAGAAAATAAGGACAAGTATTAGTTTTTTTTTTTCCCCCATAAGACTTGATTTCAAGGTACATTCCCCCATTAGCAACTGGACACTTTGTATAAGTCAGTGGCCACATAGCACCAGCACACATAGGCAGGGATGTGACAGGAGCCACCCCACTCAGCACATGTGTAGTTCTGCTCTATCTTCACTGAATCCATTTTGAGGATGCAAACGAAATAAACAAGCTGCTCCTATCTACAGAGAATAGTTACATAGGTCACCTAAAGACTACAGGCTTACAGCATGGTTGACTTATAGCTGATCAGTTTGGGAAATAAGATAGCAGCAATATACTTATGATGTACATGTTTTACAGTACAATAAGTTCACTAACACTCTCAAGGACAGTGCGCTGGTGCTTCAAGTGTCTGGTCTGAGGACCATGCAACTCTCCACTTATCCTAATTACAGTAGCATGAATTCTCTATGTACATTGGTATTGCAAGTCATGTTTGTTACAGTAAACATCACCATACACAATTTTGTGATTACAGTCTGCTACAATTTTATTCAAAAAAAAGTATTTATTTCTGGCTGTTCCTATACTACACCAGTTTAACCAGGTATTTTGCTATGTTCCTTCATCAGCTTCTACAAAAACACGAAGCGCTGCGAACCTGGCCAGGGTGCAGGAAGAGACAACCTGACAAAACCAACTGGATGATTCATATATTTGAGCCACTTATAGACCTTAAAAAAAAAAAGTTTAAGGTAATGTTTTATGACCTTTCAATTCTATCCCTTCAGTCTTCAAATATTTATGACATTTAAAATGCATTTAATTACTTGAAATGCTTAACTAGTAAAAATCAGACAGAAGCTCATGCGTAAAGTGAGTAGTACTTGTATCGGGTAAAAGACAAGAAAGATAGCACATACTTTTTTCCTGCTATATGTGCTGTGAGGAATGTGGATCCTTAAAGTCTGGAGACCTATTTTAGGGCCTGGTATTAAGCATCATTGATTACTCCAGTAGTCAAAGATCAAACTCCTTTATATCTTGCTGTGCAGTTAGGAGTGTAACTTCTATTTAGAAGTTTCTAAATAGAGAAGCTAAATACTAGGGTGTTTAACTAGTCTAGTCTTATCTCACTAAATACAAGACTAGAAGTCACATAGTTCAGTTGGAAGGCACCTACAGAGATCATCAAGTCCAATTGCCTGATTACTTCAGGGCTGACCAAAAGCAAGTTCTTAAATGCATTGTTTTTTGACTGTTTAAAGTAAGGTTCTTAAACAGTCCTTGACTACAGGAGGCCAGGGTGAAGACAGCTTTATCAGCTAAACATGCATCAGCAGCAAGCCTTAATGTGGTAAGCCATTTGCAGGGCTGTCATCCTGAACTGGCATGCTCTGAGCCTTGAACTCCTTGATTTATGGGACAGTCTTGGATCAAGGCATTAGACTGTAGGTCCTGCTTTGTAGCTTGCAGGAGACTCAGTTACTTTGTCTGCTGACCACAAGGAGTAATCTTATAGTTGAGCTTTCCTTGCATTTTGAGTATATCAGCATGCAGGAAAGAGATAGCTGTCATTTCTGAGGAATACAAGCATGAAGTAACAAATAACTAATTGAATCAAAGCATCACCCAGCAACAGTTTTAAGTGAACACTTGTGCTTAGCCTGTTTCCCCCTCCCCCCCCCCCCCCCCCCCAGTTCCGCAACATCTTGTTCACAGACTGTAATATTTCCAAGGCAAGAACCAGAAAGGCCAGCTTCAATAGAAATGAATACATGAGGTACAAATCAACTAGTTGCACCACGCATCCCACCAGAGGTACATAGGGAGACAAAAAAAAGTCAGGAGCTGTGTAGCAAGCACAGTTAGTCATGCAGAACTTCATTCTTTATATACTTACCAGGTCTCTCTCTTCTTTGTCAGATAAAGTGGCTGGAAAATAAAATTCAAGTTTAAGATATCTCTGGGAATTGCTGTAAATTAAATATAGCTGAACTCATGCAGTAGTTACATATAATACTTTCTACATAAGCCAAAGCTCCAGGACCAGTCATTTAGTTTCTTTGAAATGACAGACTTTACATGGAGAACTGCCCTTCGCTTCCACTAGCAGTGGAAGCAGTGACAAGCAGTCCTGCTGCATGAGACAGTTCTCAAGATGCAGTTTGGATTTTAAGCCCCTCCTTCAAAACACTCTCCCCTCCTCCAAGCCTCCCCCAAAACATAGAATAGGAATTTTCATGAGCTAGTGCAATAGCTAAAGAAAAAAGGCAGAGGTTGTTTCTACTGCAATAAATGCAGTAAGTCGTGGTTTGAATAAAGTTTACTTTAAAACTTTCAAATCATTTCCAACATTCTCATCTAAGCTATTTGCAGAAAAAAAAAAGCTTCAACATGCAGGGAAGAAAAAGTATTTCTTAGGCAAGTTTATAAATCTCTACTAGAAGAGATTGACACCGGACCTATCAACATTTGTACTAAGTTGTTGAAATGCTACAAGGGTAGTGAAATATATGAAAACCTCCACAGCCAAATCCAATGAATGTAATGATCTGATTAGTTACTACTTCTTACACCCTACCTCTGAACTCACCATGCAGATTTTTCTTATACCTTCATTAATGCTATGCAAGTAAATGAGGATCTCTATACACACCCTGTGCTAAGCTTTGAGGCTAAAGCATCCATTCAGTTAAAGCCTATAAGTTTTATTTACTGGATAAAACTGCTCTTCATTTTACTCAGGTCAAACAAGTTAGAACTTGACTATTAAGCAGGCCCCATATGATAATGTCAAGATCAAGGATAGCCTTGGTGCACATTCTGCCTATTTCTGCAAAGTTTGTGGATGCTAATAAAGCAGAGTTACCTTTATCACTCTTACACTTCCTTATTGCGTAGAACACAAGCAAACCAACAGGAAAAACAGCAACCAAAATTATTACAGCCATCCAAGTAAAATATTTATTTCCTGCAAATGAAAACAAATAAAATTAGGAGTTCGAAGCAGTTCTCAGATGAGACAGTTGTAAGTGTGAGCTTTCTTGCTACAGAACAAACTAAGCCCCAGCTACCCTGTCGTGGAAGAGGTGCTGGAAATTTCAGCTGACCTGAATCCAAGTATGGGTTTCCATTGCACATCATTATCCCAGTAACAGTGAGGGATTCTGTACAGTGTCACAATACAAACCCACTAAGCTTTCAGAAAAGAGAACACACAAGAAATGAGACAAAAAAATGGCATTTAGGTGCTATACTTTCAATAGGGCCCATTCCTTACCCCCTGGAAAAAAGTCACACTGTACATAGCTTCTCAGACACGCTAAATATTAGAAGCATTTGTACCATCCACCACTTCCAACAGCATCATCATTGTTGACACTCCAAGAACCCTGAGTATACCTGTAGTTTTTCACCAGTGTAAAACTTCACTGCAAGGAAAGGGTAAGATATTTGTCTCTTCAACTTATTTGGGAACCTGTCTCTATCAAATAACTCCCAGGCTAAAATGCAAGTAGTCTTAAATACGCTACAGTAGTTTAAGACTACTTCTGTGTCATTATCTACAGTTCATACACCCAATAGACAAGCCAAGTGGCGTTTGTGTACCAGACCTTGATTGGGTAAGCCACACCCTCGGTCCATTGTAGCATTGCAAATCTGCACAATTTCTTCCCCTTCTGGACACCTAAAGTCAGTGGCAATACAGAGGTTTTTATAAACATTTACAGCTCTGTCCACGCCAGTTCATTTTCTGGCAAAGCTTAGAAACATTAACAGAACTTGAACTGACAACATTAGGAATTCATCTTTTAGTTTTAAAAGATCCTACGTTGATTAAGTAAAAGCAAAACAGATAAAGTTTACGTATGTTAGCCTCTAAGTTGAGAGAAAAAGAGGTAGATGCATTATTCACTCACAGTCAGTTTCCTTCAACAGGAGGTTCTACCTCCCTGAGTTTTGGGGTGGCTGCTACAAAACTTATTCAGTTATCGATATGGGGGAAAGCACTAACCTAGAGAGACACAAGAAGTATAAGCATACACCCATATGCAACAAACCAAACAGGACCAAAATCTGCAAATTCTAGGTTTGAACCTCATGTATTTTGTCACCTAGAACTCAGAAGTATGACTGGCACCATTAGGCTTCAAGGGAATTATTTGCAGGCAAACAGCATGTGGTAGGCATGACACAGATTGGACCACAGCTGTTAAGTCTGCTAGAAAGACCATAGTTGCTTAAGTACCCTATTTAACTTACATTTGACTGCATTTCTGACATATTTCACAGCCTTCAGCAGGGCAGAAGTATCCCTGTTTGCATTGGCATTCAGCATCATTCGTCACAGTACAGGTTCTTGAAGTTATCTGGTCTAAAATACAGAAGTTAGAAAACAAAGTTGTAGCTCTGTACAACTGTGCATAAACTGGTCATAAATGCGATTTATTTTTTCCAACTTCAATATTCTCAACAACTAGAAGTGCAAAAAAAAAAAAGCAGAAGACCAGGCTTACTGCCTGGAGTAAGGGGCCTAAAGTTAAAGATTTAATTGAAATTTTTCTTGGTACCGTCTTTGCACTGTCTGCACAGCAAGCATTCTTCCAAGCCATTTGCATGGGCAGTGTAATCTCTTCCTTCGGTGCAAGAGGCACATCTTCCTCTTGAATGTGGAGTACTGCAGTGCTGAGCAACATAAGTACCTAGGGAAGAAGAGAACTGGTGTCTGCAGCAGCACTCTCAGAACGTTACAACACAAAACCATTTTTAGTCAAAGTTCAACCCTTCCTGCAAGCAAACAGCTCAACACAGGAACCAAGGGGCACCTATGGTCACAAAACATGTTCCCAGCAAAGGCAGCAGCCAGCCAGGCAACAAATATGATTCATTACAGCAGCAAGACATTGCTCACGTGGCAAGTGCCATCTTGCTGGAAGGGACATGCAGACACAGGGAGATTTGCTCGTGCAACAAAAATAAAAAAAAACAATCCAGGAATCTCTTTTCCATCCAAATTCTTTAAATCCAGCCTACAGCTCTGTGATATTACCCAAAGGCGGGGTGCTTCTCTGCACGAGGCAGTGGTAACTGCGCAAGGAGAGAAGCAGAGAGAACAAAGGCAAGGCAAAGTCCTACACGCAAAACTATCAGAATTCCCCTTGGCCAACTGTTAGAAACAAAGAAGCGACGCGACTTTGAACACTTCATCCTCAGAATAGGCAGAGATTTTTCAGAACTGCTGCCAAGGCGCCTCACCCGGCCCTTATTGCGCAATGTCCCATCGCGAAATGGAGGCCAGCCCTGGCCGCGCCGACGAGCCACCGCAGCACCAGCTGGGCCTGCGCTCCTCCCGATGGAATGTGGAATAGCGACCCAGCTCACATAGGGGGAGACGGCCGCTACCTTCCTGGAGTCTCACCTGCCGGGCACAGCACGCAGCAAATGCCTTCAAACAAGTACTCTCCCTCTCCGCAGACCTCTGCGCCGCTTCCGGGCATTGTCAGCAGCGTAACCTACAGCAGAGACCAACAGGTGTTTTCAGGTGATTCATTCTGGATAGCGATCTCAGGGAGATGGTTCCGTAAGGGGTGGAAAACACGCTCAAGGGAAGCCACAAAGGAACCCAGACTAATTTCTGTTAAGTGCTCTGCTCACAGCGGTAATTACAGTCACAAAGGATAGGTTAGGGCAGCATCACGCTTAGAGCCGCAGCTAAAGTGCCGTAGGAGAGCTGCTCCGCCCCCCCCCAACCCCCCCCCCTTCATTTCTCCGTTCATTCACCGGCGACATACGTGGGAGGCTGTTTTGTGCCTCTTACAAGGGATTCGTTTTGCTCTCCCTCGCCACATTTACTGTGTTATTTTAACTCAAAGTTCCACGTCTTCCGTGGGACAACCAGACGGAGCGCCCAGTGAATTCTCAGATGGCATTTCTCCCTCGCTCCATAATCTTCAGCAGAAGACAAGTTAATAAGACATTACGGAGGGTTTCTGCAGCCATACGAGCGCTAGCAGTAAGCTTCCGTTCTCCGAAAGAAGTCCGCGTGGCTGCGCGGCACCTCCCGCGGAGCGGCAGGAGGAACGAAGGCAGCCAGGTGCGTGGGGCCAGGCAGACGGCGGGCCGGAGAGCGGTGAGCTATGGCAGAAGAGAGACGGGACGGCCCCGAAGCTCCGCTTCTGCCCCGCGAGCGGCCGACTTAAAGCCGGGAGCACTCCGTTCTCCCGCTGCTCCACCCTTCGGACTTTGTCCACGCGAGACACCGAAAGTCTTCCCCATAATTGCGGGCTTCGCGAACCCCTCAATTTCACAATTAGATAACGGGGTGCTATTAAAAGTTCACTCCCGCTTCACCGCTTCCTTTCCTACGAGGAGAGCCGCAGCCTCTCTTGTTCTACTCCAGGCGTCCCGCGCCCCTATGGGCTCAGGAGAGCTTTGTTAGCGCGACTCCAAACCCCGAAGCACAAATTAAAAGGGAAAGGGAGTTACTAAAAAACTTCTGTCGGAAGCAAAGGCGGAAAATTCCATGGGGCAAGTCGGGCCGGCAGGCCCAGGCCAATGCCAGGCCAACTTTCCCCTCCTGGGATGAGCCGGGGCAGACACCGGACAGGCATCAACCCCTTCCCCCACTCACCCCCTTCCACGCCCCGGTACTCACCACCAGCAGCAGCAGCAGTCCCACCGCCCGCATTCCCATCGCTGCGCCCTGTCCCGCTTCAGCGCACTGGCCCCCGCTCGCGGCACAGCTCAGAGTCCCGTCCGCCTCCTTTTTTATAGGCCCCTCCTAGTCCCCGCCTCCCGCGGTTGAACAGGAAAGGGCATCGGGCAGCAGCTACCAACTATATCGAAAACGCGCTTCCGAGTGGGGAAAAAACGGGTTCCACGTTAGGGTATGTCCCGGTAGCTTCCTTTGCACTTAATAAGAGCAGGAGGAAGCTGGGTGACACTATGGGAATTGGACCGGTTGCAGGCTTTCCAACCAAACCTCTCATCCCGTTGCTAAAGGGCTGATTGCTGATCGTACAAAAGAGAGGCAAAGGCTGGAAGAATTGTTCAAAACTCACACAAACAGGGTGCATAACCGGGCTTTCTTAATTGCCAAAAGGTTTCTCGAATTTTTTAACAATAGAGTACTGCTCCCAGACAAATAACAGCAGCGTAACTGGCATGTAGCAGAATTCACCTCCAGATGTTGAAATTGGATCAAAATTAATAGCATAAGAACGCCTAGATATTTCCTTTTGGGATTATTTTTCAATCCCTTGTGGCAGTGGCATTAAACGTCGGAAACTTCTCTGCTGATGCGTAATTAATTTCTGTAGATTAATAGTTTCTTTCATTGAAGTGCTCCTCTCATGGTAACATTTATTTTATTTGACTGCAGTAACAAGTCCCAGTGAAATCCCTGTGGGTGTGTAGTTCAGAAAATGGAAAGGATCCAAAGAACTGGAAGCATTCATCTAACACTTTGTAAAGGCTTCGGCACCGTTTTCCTTTGGTTCAGATTGGTTTATTTTTTTGTTTTGTTTTGTTTTGTGACTATTATTTTCTGAAACCCAGATTAGTGTGTGTGTGTATGTATATATATATAATTTATTTATTTATTTTGACACCAGTCAAATATAAATATCCCCTTGGAAGAGCAGAGGTTCCTCTCAGTGGCTTGGTCCCAAAGGGGGATGTGCCTGATGAGGAAGGCTGTGCTGACAGGCCAGACATGTACTAAAGTATTCAAAGTAAGATTAGGCAGGAAATTAACAGGTATGTTTGCACAACTTCAGGAGCAAATATTTCTAAGGTCCATATAGGACTTTGCATAGCCAGAGACGGAACACTATTCCATAGGCACAGGCCAGGGGGACAGGCTTCATTGAGATTTACTCTGTATGGATCAGACTTTCTCAGAAAGGAGTGGCTTGGATGATGCATTCCAAAAGGTATCCAAAAGGTGTTGAAAATGTTGACATTCTTCAAGGATGAAGAATCCTTTGTTTCTTTTGAGAATTTTTCTTAATCAATCAATCTCACCAGTTAAAATTTGTTATTTGTTTCATACTGGAATGTTGACTTTTGGCTGCTGCCCCTTATCCTGTCTGCTCATATCAGAGAGTTGTGGTTTTCTTTCCACACTGCTATCTTTTTGCTATTATCAACCCACTTCCTTAGCATAAAGGTTTTCTAAGTCCAAGGTAAGTCTGTATGTGTATGACAGTGAAAATCATGACATCCACTTTTCTTTCTCTTTTGAGGAAGTTGCTGCAGCACAGTTTGAACCAGATGGATACCAAAATGCTACTGCTATTCTGAATTATTGTGTACAGCTGAGATTCATGCACCCCTATTCATATAGTTTCTCCTCTAAAAAGCACAACTTAAGAGTCATTTGCTGATAAGATACACAAATAATTTCTCAGACAGACAGCCATTGAAAGTTGTGTGTAATTTTATTTCAACATATCAAGCACAAACAGGTTTCCCCTACTGGGGGAATATGACGAGGAATGTAGTTAAAAATTTGGAAACATTTACATTGAAAGATAGCCCAGACTGGCACCACCACTAAGTATTTTAAGGCTGTATATATAGCAGTACTTACCACTTGGATCTACTTCAGGCCAAAAAAGAAAGGCTTAGTATTGTCTGCAGTCTACAGAAAATATTGCAAATCTTTTAAAAATGGTGTAAAATAGGAAGACTATTAACAGATTTGAACAATGCAGTGGCAAAATCCTTCCTCCTTCCTGACCTTTCACAATAAAAGTGCCTACAACCAAACACATGTACACCCATTGCTCCTGTCCTTCTCACCTCTCCTGGGGCAGTGATTCCTCTCTACAATGCTTTTGTGTAATATTATAAAACAGCCATATAGCAAATAATAACAATAATAATATGTGACCAGGTTTTACGAACAGACATGTCTGACGTGATGCTCCATGGGCCTGGTCCAGGACACCAGTCAACTCTGGAAGTGAATCAGGAGCTTTCATTGAATACTTCTAATTTCCTAAAGAGGAATGGCACTCGGAAGTTGTGCATATTTACAACTACCGTGGAATGGAAAACAAAATATCCTGAGTTCCCGTTCTGCGTGTGTGTGCTGACAAAACAAATTATGACCTAATATCCTGGGGGATGGATTTTTTGGACCAAAATTTTTTTTTTGCTCCTTCCCATAATTAAATGCAGCCAGGCAGGCACTGTGAACATCAGTTCTGTACAGCTCCCCAGCTATACTCCCTTCCTTGGAGAGCTATAAACCAGGCCGGTGTGCCTTTTCTAAAACACTGCTGTGTTTTACCATTTTGGGGGTACCAATACCGGTGGGTAATTAGTAATTGCATCAGAAAATGAAGAAACATAGAAAACAAATTGCACGATTAAAGCTACATTTGGCTTCAGCATTAAGGCCCATACAGGTTAAGAGGTCCTTGAAGATGTACACGTAAAAGGCAAAAATGACATAATCTGCAGGAACAAAGTTCCTAGGTCCCTTTTTCACCTTGTTCTTCAACTTTCTTCCATCTCTGCTGCGTTGGTTCTAAAGTGCTTTGGTGCCTCGCTGGACTCCTCGTGTGAGTGCCCCCCCTTCCTGCAGCCAGTAGTCGTTATTGCTGCCAAACGTGGTGCGTTTATTTGAAGACATAATTAATGAATAGCTGACATGTAAGAAAGATGCAAAGGAGAAACCAACAGCGAGAGTCCAGCAGAAAGCTTCCAGAAGAAATCTTCCTGTGGAAGGATTTTTTGTTCAGAGCGCTGAGGTTTCTGGAAGAGAAAGAAATATTTTTATTTGCATGTTGGAAGGAACGAATGCACACCCAGAGCCCCAGAGCTTCCACACAGGCAGGGATCTCAGCACTTAAGAGGCACCCTAATGGGTATGGTACTGCGTCCTACAGACTTTCTTCTCCCCCTCTTAACAGAAAGATAAGTACTTCCAGGCGCTGCTGGATCAAGTAAAGCATGCTGGCTGGCATGAGGAGGTGTAATGGCAAAAAAACCAAGAAATCTCTTCCTCCAGCATTACTCACAAATCATAGACATAGGATGGCTTATGTTGGTAGGTACCCTATAGATCACCCAGCCCTACCGCCTACCATGGGCTGCCCTCCACCAGCTCAGGCTGCCAAGGGCCCTATCCAGCCTGGCCTGGAGCATCTCCAGGGATGGGGCATCCATAGCTTCTCTGGGTAGCCTATGCCAGCGCCTCACTGCCCACTGAGTAAATAATTTCCTCCTAATATCCCACATAAATCTCCTCTCTTCCAGTTTAAAACCATTCCTCCTTGTCCTATCACTATCAAATGGTATAAAAATTCAGTCAAGAATTAGTTCTTGACTACACTTCAAAGAACAAAGAAAAATTAAAATTAAAATCATGTAAGTGATTGCCTCAACATCCAGGAATGGTGAGTCTAGCATATGATCCTGCTCTATTGATACCTCTGTATAGCTGGATAATAGTTCTCATGCACTAAGGAATCAGCGGGGTTCCCTGGATTGGATACAAGTAACTAGTACCATACCTGCCTCATCCTGCCCTGCTCTACCTCCCTGCAGGCGTCTGCAGTGCAGAGCCCTTTGCCAGCAGTAGGTTAAGTAGGTGCACTCCCTGTTTCCCTCAGTGAAATTAGCAATTCACACAAAAAGAGACAATGTAGTGCTTTTCACACCCTGAAGCTCAGTATTCAGACTATGTGCCCATGTCTCCGCAAATCAAGCAAGTTGATAACACACTCAATAGCTGATGAGATTTGTTTGCAGAGATTTATTTATAGCCAGGTCTCTATCTATCCCCTCCCAGCTTCCACAGCAGTTCCACAGGTGGGAGTGCCAAGGGAAAATATAACATCCTGCAGTGCTGCTTTTTGCTCTCATAAAGAGAGCCTTATGAAGAGATTACCATTTCAACTTAGGGTTTGTTTTGCCTTTCCAGTGTGCTACCAGGTTGCCTATTAAGGTAGTTGTTAGCTGCACCTGCAGCTGACAAGGACACTCCAAAGGCCACAGATTACTTTTACCCCATTAAGGTAATTGCTTTGGTGAGAGAAAATTATTACCTGTGTATTTCCTGTTGGGCTCTCTGTAGAGATAAGACAGCTGAACGAATTTCCTTTAGGTGATTCATTTCTTTCCCACACTGAGTGCACAGACTACCAAACCCTGTGGCAAAGTATTGAGAGACAATAATGGTGGTGGTGACAAAACAAACCAGGCTCATCAAGCAATTAGCTGACTGCAGTCAAAACATCACAGTCAAGAGGTATCCTTTCAGAAGGAAACATGGAGAAAAAGGGACAGATGACAGAATCGCTCCCACTTGGTAGGGGTCCTGTGTCGCTTGTCTGGGGCCCTTTTTCATTTCTTAAGCAAGTCTTTTACGGCAGCTTCCCCACCTAAGAGGAGGGGAATCAAGGACTTGCATCTGACCCCATATCTGAACTACTCAGGGTTATTTCCAACAAAGACTGAGAAAGGGGAACAAGGAATGAAACATGCTTCCTGTGTATTGGAATTTCAGTGTATTTTTCCAGTGTGTTTGTCCCAGGAGTTGGGGAGCCCTTACTGGCATGGACAACATAAGGCAGGAAGAGGAGTAGATGTGCATAAGGAAAGCACAAAAGCAGAACATTCTCTGTGTTTGCCTGTGGGCTATGGATCTGCATTGTTAACCAGGTTGGAAAATGTTCAAGAGCTGGCTCAAGGAATAAGATACCAAAGGAAGAAGAACATGAAAGTTTGACCCACTGATACCTAGATACTTGCCATCATCATCTGACAGCTCTTGTACAGACTCCGGTGTTGAACAGCTGCTCTCTGTATTCTGGCTGTGGTTGGATGGCTGATCACTGGTTTTACGGCGTCTGCAGTCTTTGGTAGATCTCTGGATAAAACAGCAATTAAAAGAGACTCAGTCACAACCAAATTGAACACTTCTGTTTGGTTTTAAACGGTATAACTCAAGGTGCTGGGAAATATCTCTGAGATTGCCAAGTTTGATGGCTTTTTCAGCAGCTCCTAGTAGTTGGACTCCTGTCAGCTACTTAAGGATATTACAAGCTGGTTAAGGGTATTACAAACATGCTCCACACAGAAGCACTTCCTCTAATGATAAAAGCCTTAATAAACCCATACAAACAATTCTTGTCCTAGCTGTAACTGACACATAGTAGTGGTGAATTTTGCTGAGATGTGTACCCACCAACTAGATCCATAAAAGAAAGGATGAAAAGAAAAACTTAAAATCAAATTTTCAAGGAACGGTTTTTCAGGAA